GATTTTACATTAGATCGTCAGTGCTTTTCCGGAAATTCAAGCAGCCAGTGTAGACAGCTGGCAAGTTTTTCCGGAAAAGTGGCTGATTTTCCAGAATAACTTGCCAGTGTAGACACAGCCACTATGTTCGTACCACAGGTGTTTCCGGATTAGGGAAGTCAAGATTATGGAGGTTCAACTTGTAACATATAAGTTTTTCTTTTGATGTTAAAAAGCCACTCTGCTGAAAATAAGGGGGATTTTCATTCTACTCAGTCCTGAAAGGAAAACATATTTTTGTACATTTCATAGGTCTGAGTCTGTGGAAGGATTCTTATCTCCAAGTCGTTGTGGTAGTCGCAATGGGGAAAAAGATTGGGAAAATGCATCTACAACTTCTTCAGTGGCCTCTGCTACAGAATACACAGGTCTGTATTGGTAATATTCTTACAATAAAAATATTGATTCAGTAGGAAATGAGGTAGATTTAAATAAATAGACTAAACTACAAATTTAGGCCAAATCCCACAAACACATAAGTAATTTTATGCATGTATTTTTTAAATTATTTTTGTAACAGGAGGAACAAAGACTATAGAAAATATGGGATCAGTTTGTAACCAAAAGTTTCAAACAGAAAAATATAATTGCCATAGAAGAAAACACCTGTTCACTAATATAAACTTAAATATAAAAGAATTTGAAGAATTTTTAACCCAACCCTACCATAGTGTACATCTTGTTTCAAAGAAGATCCCTCTTTAAAAACTAAAGATTTATTTAAAACTTTCTGCTGCCTTACTTCTAATATTTCAGTGGCCTGAGTCTAACATCAGAGCATTTTCATCCCCTTTTTGATTTGTGTGTAGCATGTGATATTACAGAATGTTGGGAATTATTATTATAAAATCTGTTTTTTTTCCATGTATTATCACTAAGTCTGGCAAATAGGTCTGAAATATCAGCAAGTATTGTAGATAAACAAGCCCTTGAGGTGAATTTAGATCTATAAGGCTGTGTAACTATGCTGGGAAATGTTTATGTTCTGAAAATAAACTATTTTCTTTCAACACTACTACAATAACTATAGAAGAGACCAAATTTAAAATATAGATACTGCACAGTACTTATCTACCAATCTTTGAGATCATTTTCAACCAACATAATCGATTCCTCGCATCTCTTCAGAATTAAATCTAATACAGGTACTAATACTGGACTTAGATTGTCTCCTTTAATTCTATCAACAAGACCCATTGCCTAAAAGTAGGATTTTTTAATTTTGTTTGTACTTTAAGTTTTCAGACTTTATTTTTATATGCAGTATGATTTTTTTAAGGCACTCAATTTGGGGGGTTTGCTATGCAATATTGAATACTCATATTTCTTGCATTTTTTCCATTGATTCTGTTCTCCCCTCAAACAGTCAATTAGGTAATCTTAGATGGTGAAAATTAATTTTGACTTTAAATTATTCGTGGCCTCTAAGACTGTGGTCCCTTTTATTAGTCCTATGCCTCCTTTCAAAGAGTCTTGACTCAAATAGGAAGATTAATCTATTCTTAATCTATTCTCTATTGACCAGTCCCTCAAAATAATTGTCAGGATGAAGAATCAAATGTTTTATAGGGGCCGTCTGGTTCTTAAGCTTTACATGTTGCTTTGATGTCAGTTTAGGTTATATTCTCCCCTCATTGCAAAGAACACTTTTTCCACAAAAATACATTTTTCATCTGGGAAAGGAGGCTTTTGGTTAAACTTTCTGCTGTACAATTTTCTTCCAGTTTATGGCTTTTCTACACAACTGGGTCATCCATTAGTCATCAAGAGGTGAATACTATCAACTTCTCTACAGCTCATATATGTACACTATATACCCTGCAGAGCCAGTTTCTAGTAATTTCTGATAAAACAAGCCCTTCAGGCAGTCTTGCATGACCTGTCATAATCAGCACCAAGCCCTTTTGCCTTCACTGTGGGCAAGACACAGCTGGGATTCCACAACACCTCCAATCCCAGAAGGCAGGCGGACAGTGACTCTAAACACAGCAGCAATTCAGTGTTGTCTGTCTCCCCCTTGAAAACGAGGTGCAGAGGAAGAAATTAAGCTACTCCTCCTCCTAGTTAGCTAAAGGATTTTTTTTCCCCCATACTAGGCATTTCGTCATTAGTATATGATCACGTGAACAACTTTTATAAGGCTTTTTCAAGATAGTACCATAAATTGCCCCATGACGATGCTCTAATGCTGAAAGATAAATTGTTGAGTGAATCTAGTAATATTTTAAAAATATTTTTTCACTTGACAGCAGTATGCATTATATTGATATATAATTCTTTGATTCAGTAACAGAAAAATAGGGAATCCAAATATGTGGTTAACAGATCTGATCTCTACTTATTTTTTTTTGTGGGTGCTAGGATTGTATTGTTACAGGCACAAATGATATATGGAAAAAGTATTTAATAGTGTTCAGGACTGCTTTCTGTATAAATTACTGAATAACTTAGCTGATTTGTCAATTCTGTTTCATAGGCCCTAAACTCTATAAAGAACCCAGTGCAAAATCCAATAAGCATATTATTCAGAATGCTCTGGCACATTGTTGCTTGGCTGGAAAAGTAAATGAAGGTCAGAAGAAAAAAATACTGGAGGTAAGGGTATTTTCCCTCTAATTAAAAAAAAAATTAAATCCAGCCTCATTTGGACACGGGAGGCATGTTAGGATGGAGGGAAGCGTGGAAAGAAATATTCCTCCCCCAGGCTGTGTAAATGCTTTGTGGATGGCTAAAGTAGTCTGTAATCCCTAGCCTGAAGGCCCAAAAGATCAAGGGGTATTATGGAAACAATTGTATATGATTGTGTAATTTAAGAGTATTGTAGTATTATGCTTAGAGAAACTGAATTAATTATATGCACAAACAATCTTAATTTTGGCATTTGCTAACTTAAATGTTTGATTTAGCACCATAACATTCTTTTGACACATTTTGTGGTCTTTAAAACATTATTTTCTAAGTTGTTTTTAAAAGCAAGCAAAAAAGAACAATTCACATTTTATGAAACCTATGTGGATCATCAGCAGAGTTGAGACCTTTAGCTCCACAGCCCCCGTTTCTACTACTTAAGATAATGGAAAGCTTCAGAGGGGTAGCCGAGTTAGCCTGTAACTGGAAAAACTTAGTCAACAACAAATCGTCTAGCAGCACCTTAAAGACTAACAAAACATGTAGATGGTTTCATGCGCTTTCGTGAGAACAAGAAGTGGGTTATACCCACAAAAGCTCCTGATACCATCTACTTGTTTTGTTAATCTTTAAGATAATTGAGCAATTGGTAGTGATAGCAAACTTTTATCCTTAATGTACACTGGTCAGCAGAGTGGTATGACACATACCTTTGCTAGTAGCCTTACAGCTGTTTGCTGAGAGCAGAGCCATGTCAAGACTTACAATCCTGTGTTCAATTCCAGATTCTGGAGGGGTAGGTGCTCCCATAGATAAGTCCCTCTGCCCTCTGCCCTCTCCCCTGCCTCTTTTGCTCACTTTTCTGTATTCATGTCAGCAGAAGGGGCTCCTAGAGCATTGGGGGAAGGGGGAGGGGGGAATAGTCTCCCTGTTGGCAGTATTGGTGCCTGGCACCATACAGCTCCCAGAAGTATGGAAGAACAGCTGCACAGAAAGTCATGCTCAGCTCCTGCAGCTCTAGAATGGAGCAGGCTCAGTCACTTGGTGATGATTGTGCCTGTTCAGTCAGATCAGCATGTAGGAGGAGTTGTTTCAGATGTGTGATATGTGCAGCTGGGATCTTTAGATCATAAATGCCTACAGCCTCTTAACAAACCTCTATTGAATATGTACTAACTGCAGTTTTTCAGAAACGTATAGATTGGCCAAATCGGGGTAGATTTTCAGGGAATGGCAACAAGAACATGTTTAACATTAGGGCAACCTCCCTTGCAAATTCCGATTTCCAAGTGTGGAGGTGCTAGAGCTTCTCAATTAAACAGTCGTAATAATTTTAACCTCCCCCTCCAAAAAAAAACCCCACAGTTATTTTCCCTTATCTCCTTAGGAAAAGCTTAGGAACTGTAATGGCCTAATTTTTTATTTAAATAAATGAAAATTCTTCCTGAGACAGTCTAAGGATGTGAAAAGTTAACCAGTAAACATCACATCTCTGTCCATGGGGAGCCCAGGCATGCTGCAGGCAGGGGCTGCTCTGACGGGATGCAGACCTGGAGCCAGCAGCAGCCCCAACCCCTGTGTGGAGGCTGGGAGCCAGCAGAACCAGCCCCAGCGCAGGAGGTGGAAGCCCACTGCAGCGCCAGCAGGGATATACCACTTTAGTTGGTTGACCTATTAAATGTTAGGTTAACTAATTAACTGGGATTTTACATCCCTAAGATATCCAGCATGCAAAAATTCAGCCCTGATAGTTGAAGATTGGGGAACTGTACTGAAAACAGTCTTATGGAACATGTTATACAACATGAACTACAGTTCATATAACTATAATGCTAATTTAAAATAAAATCTCCTACAACTTTGGGTTGAAGGTTTCCTACACATAATATTAATTTCACATTGTGAACACTGTCTTTCTTTTTCTTTTCAAGGAAATGGAGAAATCTGATGCCAATAACTTCTTAATCCTATTCCGGGATTCAGGCTGCCAGTTCAGATCTCTGTATACATACTGCCCTGACACTGAAGAAATCAATAAGCTGACTGGGATAGGCCCCAAATCAATCACAAAGAAAATGATAGAGGGACTATATAAATACAACTCTGACAGGAAACAGTTTAGTCACATACCGGCTAAAACGCTGTCTGCCAGTGTTGATGCAATTACCATTCACAGCCATTTGTGGCAAACCAAGAGACCAGTAACTCCTAAAAAACTTTTACCTACCAAGGCATAGTAGAGGGGGAAAATATTTGCTTCAGACATTTGTGGTAAAATTGCACTTCATCTTTACTGCCTATAGAAAATAGGTTTCTAGTTGCAACAAGACTTACAGAACTTGAAATTGGACAAGCTCTTATGCACAACTGGAATGTAAACAGTATTTAGGAGTACTTTAGAAGACTTGTCACTTAAGTGATACAACTACAAGTGATAATGGAAATGTATGATTCATGTTTGGAAATTATGTGCTAATACAGACTGTAGGGTACATTTGCTCTATATTTTGATTAGATAAGCACTGAATGTTTATCTGCAGTGACTGAAAACATTTTTTACATTTGTTGCCTTATGTGTTTGTGCTTGTCTTGAAATTTAATTTTCTTGCTGTTTTTTCCTTCACTTTTCTTAATATTATTTTCAATGTCATTGAATTTTACTAATGGATCCTATCCTGAAATACAAACAAAAAGGTGGTTTATTATGAGGTACAGAATATTTTGTGATCATTCTAAGACATCCTGGTCTTTTTCTGAAAGACCCTCATTGTATGTTCTCATGATTACAGAAACATTCATCACACTGTATTTCCAGTTCCATTTCAACTGGTTTGTTTATTTTTTAAACTAAATATTAAGGGAATTCTTTGAGCTGCTTAAAGTGACATTTCCTTCAGATTAAATTATTATTTAGTAACTAAAATATTCAGGAGTCACAAAATTCACTAAGTAAATCTGTTCTTTTCACCTTAGTTCTACCCAACTCTTCCTTAAACAATTTTTGCTGTGGATAGACAGACATCCATTACAGGTTTCAGTCTGTCCAGCTTTCTAAAAAGCAAATCACTTTTTTACATACTCTGACAGATGACATTTAAAGAATTTCTTATCCATTCAATATAACTATGGCGAAGAACGTAGTTGATATTTCAGGTTTATAACAATAGAAACACTTTTGAAAATAGCCAATGGAACTTATTTCAGTTTTATTTACAAATGGGTGCAGTATTATTTACAACTTATTATTTCATAAGTGTTTCATTATTTTATATGTCATTATTGTGCTTAATGTTTTTCTTTTGTATAATTATTTTCAGTGTAGCACTGTTCCGAAAAAACTACAAACTTGAAACCTCCCCCAAATCTGTGGTTTTTTGGCATTGTGTACCAGAGGATTAGTTGGTGGGAGGGGGACAAACTCATTCTCAGGAAAAGATTTGAATGATTTATGATCCTGTTCTGTTTGTGTTGTGACAACTGTGTAAGCATAAGGACAGTATTGTACTTATAACTATGTAAGTCATTCTGTTTCATGGGGAGTAGAGACTAAAATTATATATTTCTCTCATTGAACTTCTTAGAGAGAAATAATGCCTCACTACTATGATGTATTCATTTACTTAAAGATTCACAGGAATGAGATGTCTTTAAACAGTTTAGAACAGTACTTTTTTAATTATTATAAGGCCTTAGGCATAAATGCATTGGGTTGTTTATCAACTTTTTCTCAAATGGTGTCAATATTTTACTATAATTTATGTTCTTATATTTATGTATATTTGTTAAAACTGTAAAAAAGAACACTTTAAAAAACATGTTAAAGTTGTATGTGGCTCAAAACTACTTGTGGCTAGCTGATTCCTATTGTTTGCATGTATATGATCAGGATAAGTAACTCTTATTTCAAGTGTATACAGATTGTGTATATATTATATAAATATTAAATATGGGTGGGGAGGGTTTGCACATTCTGCCTGCTAGATAGCTCAAACAACTACTGTTATATGAACTTGTGTATATTAAACATTAGTTTAAGAAAAGTCAATGCTGGAGTAAAGTGCCAATGGATGGAATTAACAGATGTGGATATGATGAATACATCTATGAAGATTTATTTATCATGAGAGGCTTTTTTTTTCCCTAAAACCGATCAAGGATTTGACTGAAGACTTGCACTTCTCACTAATACATGCACATCCATTTTAAAATACATGCCAGGGGGATTATTTGAAATATGGCAGTGTATTATGTTCATATTTGTCTACAGGTTAAAAGATGTGCAATGTCTATAGGTAGAATATGAACAACGCAACTGAAAAGTTAATTGCTCACAATTTAAAATTTTACTCAATACAGGAAAAGTGAAGATGGATGCTTTTTCTTTTTAAGCCTATAAATTTTCTAATTACAGTGTATCTTTGGTTGGGGTCATGTTTAAAAAAATATAAAAGGAAAAAAATTCATAAAGGCTATCGTTTATCATTGATTTTTTTCACAACACACTGGTGCTTTATTATTGTTGTTTCTATGACTGAATTTGCCAAACATTCATCTTAGTTTCCAGACCAAAATTCAAATTATAACAGTCATAATAGCTACTGAAACCATTTTTAAAATTTTAGTATGACTGTTTTTATCACTTGGCTGTTTAAAGCCAAATTCAGCTATTTAATTATGATTTAATGGGCACTGTTGAGAAATGTACAGTGTATTGTGTGCTTACTTGTCCACTTCTATGGATCACTGCTTCCATATTTTTTCAAATAGTGTGCTGTACAATATTGTCGTATTGCTACTTACGTGGTACAGTGTAGTTTTTCCTTTAAGTTGAATAAAAGCATGACACCAAAATGATACATTTTCTCATGCTCTCTCGTATTATGTTTGAATATAAACTGAAAGTGATGTTTATCAATTTACCTACCTATTCAAAACATGTTCATTGTGGTAGATGATACTGTTACATATTTTTGAAAAAATACATACAGATTTTTATTTTTCTCTTTATCCCCCATTTATAATAGAATTATAGAACTGCAAAGAACCTCAAAAGGTCATCAAGTCTAATCCCCTGTACTCCTGGGAGGACCAAGCACCATTTAGACCATCCCTAACAGGTGTTTATCTAACCTGCTCTTAAAAATCTCCAATGATGGAGATTCCACAAGGCCCCTAGGCAATTTATTCTAGAGCTTAAAACACCCTGACAGGAAACCAGTAGCAGATCAAGACTGTCAATGACTTGCAAAGGAAGTGAAAACAATTTTTATTTCTCATGAACTGAAGAATTTTTAATTTGTAATTTAGATTTCAGAGAACATTTTCATATAAAAACATGAATTTCTAAAATAGCACATTTTTATTTAAGCTATTTAATAGACTTACATTAGGTCAAATTGATGCTCATTTATGTATTTCAACATGTTTCATAGAAATACTAATTCCACCATGAAACTATACTACCTGTAGTTAGAATCTGGATAGTTCTCTAAGCCTGAGAATATAAAAAATGAGGACAATTAAACACTATAAAGTTATTTTAATAACATCACTGTTCCCAAAATTTTGAAGTCAATATTTTTTCTTTTAAATTGGCAGAACTATTATAAAGGCCTGAATTTCATAGATTTTGAGCACCTGAAAATGTCATTGGCTACAAAAGGCAAACTGTATGCTTGTTAGTCTGAGAGTGCCCATACAATTTCTTACTCTCCTCACAGTTTGGTTAAATTAAGGGAGATTCTATGAGCCTGATTCTCTCAGCTTCACTCAAGTAACACTAAGTCGCCAGGAAGTTATCTTAAATGGCTTTCTAAATAGCCCCTTTAGGAAGGAGACATTTCCTCTTATGTTCCAAACAGTTTGCCAAACTTCAGGATCTTGAGTTGTTTCTGTTAAGAGAAATTGAGGAATACAACAGATACTTCTTTGATGCAATCCTGCTTCTAGAAATACTTCCATCAACCAATGTCCAGAAAAACCCATCTGCCTACTTAGCTCAATTTCTGACCAGCCTTGCATGAGGCATGTGCCCTGGGGGATGGTCCTTATTTTTTTCAGCTATCCAGCTCCAAAAGGAGCTTAACTGCTGCTTGTATTTATCCTGCATGAAGAGTGGCTCTCACACCCCAATGCAGCACACTGGTAAGAAGGTGGCTGGTGGGAGGCAGGGCTTTGATCCAGTCCCGTTACTCCATCCTTCCCCCCCAAAGCTGGGGCTGGGAGCTGGGATCTCAGGCTATGAAGAGTTGGTGGCTCTGTATAAGGATTCCATATACAGAAAGATTAACAAAACTTGGACTTTTCAGTGTGGAAAATAAATGATTAAAGGGTGGCAGGATATATGATATGTCTAGAAAATAGACTAAGGAAATGTTATTCATTCCTTCACTAATATAACAAAAGAAGCTTAGCTGATCCAATTAAATTTATAAGCAGCAAATTTAAAAGAAACAAAATAGGTGACTGGGGATGGATCATGATGATTGCCTCTTCTGTTTATTCCTTCTAAAGCACCTAGTATTGGCTACTGTTGGAAGACCAGAAACAGGGCTAGAAGGACCATTGGTCTGACCCAGTATGGCCATTCTGATTTATATAGATCTGAAATGCATCTGCCCCCTCTGTAACCTACTAGACCCTATTCCCCTTCCAGAGCTGAGATAGAGCCCAGAAGTCCTGACGGGGTTTCTCTCTCCCTCTTTCTCTCTCTCCAGAGCTAGTAAAGTAAGAATATATATTAAAATGGTAATGCTAACCACTGTCCCTTAAGTGACTTGCCCCAAGATGTCAGGATATGTTAATATTAGAGGCGAGTAGATGTGATATTTATTTTTCTTTTTATATATAGCAGTTAGATACAGTGCTCCTGTCAGCTAACTAAGTAGTTTTGCAGTGCCTTAGTAGCCCCTGGATAGAGATGATGTGGGAGGATGGGGTTGTTCTCCCCTCCCCCATTTTGGTGCTTGGCTTCTATTGAACATGCTCAGTAACACTGCTGAAAACTCTGTCCTCAGTCTGCCCCCTTCATTCTCTCTCTCTTCTCCCCCCATCACTGCATGCACAGGTTGCCCCGCCCCCCACCAAAATCTGAGATGGCACCCCTGAACAGTACCTATAAGAAATGTAAGTTACTTTCACTCCAGGGTTTCACAAATTACATAGCTGATTTATACCACCCCCTAACTCTGCTTC